ATCCTAAGTCTCAAAAGTGTATAAAAAGGATTCCTTGTGAAATCATATATCACAACTTCATATCAAATCTGATACAAGAAAGAAATGGCTGGAAACCCATCGTYTTCTCAAACAATGCCTACAAGGATGAAGGCTTCAATTGAAAAGGCCGAAGCCGAGATTAAGAAGATCACCAATGACTGGTGGGCTAACAGGGAGAAACAAAACAAACACGAAGAATCTATTGAAGAGAAGAAAAAAGCAATCAAGCAATTGCAAAAGGAGATTCGAGCCGAGGAAAAAATTGTGAAAGACATCGCGAAGGGGTACCCAGTGATGTAAGAAATGATCAATGAAAAACAGTACTGGATTGAGTCTTGCAAACACTTTACCCAGAAGGAAACTAACATGAATGTTATATATTAATGTTTTTGTTGTCGTCGATTTTTTTTTAGTTTAATGTTACGTCGGAATGGTGTTGTTTCAGTCTTTTCGTCAATGTATTGATGGTTAATGTTCATGCATTTCTAAATCAAACTTCCATTTCCCATTAAAACAACAAAAGTACACTTAAAAATCGTACATTTACTTACTTAAATCGTAAGTATCAAATACATAGTCTTGTGTAGTATCAGATTCAGACGGACCACAATCGCTTGGACGACTAACTGATCTTTGACGACTACTTGAACTTCCATGCGTTTGCCTAGGAGCTGGCATCGGACTCGGACAGTTATATCGAAAATGTCCACTCTGGCCGCATCGACTGCAAGTTTTCACTATTGGTTCCTCGTCTCGTGACGGGATACGATCGCGGTTGCGTGGCCTGCCTGAGTTTTGTATGTCCAAGGGAGGGGGTAGGACGGTCAAACGTTCRTTGGGCAACACATATTCAGCTTCTGGTGGAAGGGGAATGACTTCTTCCTCGTATGTTGCACGGTAAGAGTCAGAATTGAACCAAACAGAACAGAATTGACTGCAGTCTTGAATATCTAAACTTCGAGCAACAGAAATCACATGACCGCAAGCTATTCCAGAAAGTTGCCATTGCATGCATGTACAAGTCTTAGCATGCAAGTCACACGTTCCTTTCTTATAGCGGTCGTCAACTTCAAACAACAAATCGCTAATGGGATATACCTTCCAATTTGCGCTCCTATATATTCTCTTCTCTAATTTGGCCTCCGCCCAAGGAGTCACGGCATTCATCATTTGCGCTGCAGATATTTGATATCATTACCATATGTTAAATAATCAAACATATAGTCAAAGGCTGGTTGAATTTACCTCCGTTATGCCGACGTATGAAATACCATTGTTGTAATGTCGCCCGATAAAATTCAACTAACATTGTTATCGGAAGATAGCATGCAAACCGCGTTACTGAGTTGACGGACTCAGCACTATTTGACGTCATTGCACTGTAACGCAATCCAGGGAAGTGCGATCGTGCCCATCTAGCGTAGCCAACTTCCTCAAGATATTGAGCGGCTCTAGGTAGACTGTGTCGCATCAAATCCATAGTAGCTTCAAAGTCCGACAATCGGTAAGCTTTGCATGCCTCCCAGAAAATCCATCGTTTTCTTTTCTCTTTAGTAGAGTTTAGGCGGAGGTTTTGGCTCAGATGCCGACAACAAAGTCTGTGGTGCGCAGAAGGAAATACAGTTCGTATGGCCAGGTCGATAGAGGCAGTCCTATTGGTGACGAAGGTTAAATTGGGCACATCACCGATACACTGCCTAAGCTTACGTAAAAACCATGTCCATGACGTGCCACTTTCTGTCTTCCCCACTCCCATTGCAATGGGTACGATACCATTGTTTCCATCCATGCCGACCGCTAAG